TGCGTGGAAGTCGGAAACAGTACCGAAGGAGTGGCAGACGGGGTGGTGGTTCCCCTTTTTAAAAAGGGGGATCAGAGGGTGTGTGCCAATTACAGAGGCATCACACTACTCAGCCTCCCCGGGAAAGTTTACTCTAAGGTACTCGAAAGGAGGGTCAGGCCGATTGTCGAACCTCAGATTGAGGAGGAACAATGCGGATTCCGTCCTGGTTGTGGAACGACGGATCAGCTTTTTACTACTCTCGCAAGGATTCCTGGAGGGGGCCTGGGAATACGCTTATCCGGTCTACATGTGTTTTGTAGACTTGGAGAAGGCGTATGACCGAGTTGCCAGGGAGTTACTGTGGGAGGTGCTGCGGGAGTATGGGGTGAGGGGGTCTCTACTCAGGGCCATCCAATCTCTGTACTCCCAAAGCGAGAGCTGTGTCCGGGTCCTCGGCAGTAAGTCGGACCCATTTCCGGTGAGGGTTGGCCTCCGCCAGGGCTGGCTTTGTCACCAATCCTGTTTGTAATATACATGGGTCGGATTTCGAGGCGTAGTCATGGGGGAGGGGGTCTGCAGTTCGGTGGACTAAGGATTGCACCACTGCTTTTTGCAGATGATGTGGTTCTATGGCTTCATCGTCTGCGACCTTCAGCACTCACTGGATCGGTTCGCAACCGAGTGTGAAGCGGCTGGGATGAGGATCAGCACCTCCAAATCTGAGGCCATGGTTCTCAGCAGGAAACCGATGGACTGTCCACTCCAAGTAGGGAATGAGTCCTGTTATGGAAATCTAAAAACCCCAATACTGTAGAGTACAAGTCAGAAAACAAATAAATGGTGAATCAGACAGAGTTTTCTTTCTGGTGATGTTTATTCTAACAAACATCAGATACAATAAAATATAGACACAGGTCTCACAGAGTATAGGATAGTCTGCGCGAGTGTGCGCAGTTTAATATGGTAACAAAGCTTATATTGAGGAAAGGGTGGGAAGGTCAGAAATCTGTCTTCACACGGTCACATTGTTATTAGACACATGTCCTTGAGCTGTAGATCTCAGGAAAGGCAAGTTCTCCTGTGACTATGTGTGAGTCATAATAGCAGCTGTGGCCTTGAAGTAGAGTAACAAGAGGCAAACAGCACATCTAACCTAATCTACTTTGAACATATAAGGAATATAATAAAAATGTCCACTACATTCTCCCCTTTTGATCATACTTGATCAATAACAAATCAAATGACAGAATAGAATGATATAACACATCAATGAATACACTCCATCACTGGTTTAAGTAAACACATCACAAATATATCATAGAAAACTGGCTGTTTTTGTGGAGGATAGACTCCAATATAATGTAAGCATAAGAGGAGAGTACACTCGATTCACATGATTATATTGATTATATTGTAGTGTCGGAATCAGACTCTTCTGATTCTCGCTGGTCTATCTCACTGTGGCGCAAAGGATTGTCTTGTAATGGAATAGCAGTATACTGAACGAAAGCTAAAGATACCAGGCTGGAAAAGCCTTTCTTCAGTATTGGGATAATCAAACAGGTACAACTGATTACTAGGCCGAAAATGATTATCAGGGGTGTAACTATCCTAGCCAGCCATGCTTGCCACCCCCCCGATGTAAGCCAGGCCCACCAGTCCCAGCCGCCTGCGTTGGATATGTCATCCGCTTTCATGTCGGCTAACAAGTTGTTAAGATGCAGCACGGTGTCAGTGATGTTCTTGGTGGCGTCGGGAATGTAAGTGCAACAGGAGTCACCGATCACATGACACAGGCCACCCTTTGAGGCGAACAAAAGGTCAAGAGCAAATTGGTGCTGCATGAGCATATTCCTAGAGGCTATTATGAATGGGGGCAATGCCTGGAAGCCTTGCATCGTCTCGTAAGTGAGGTTCTCTAGTCGAACGTGTAAGGTATCTATCTTATGGGCATTGTTTACTGTACCCCACCATGGAAACAAGCCACCAAAGAATGTAACTCCAGTGGACGTCAGCTCTCTTTTTACCTTGTGGTGGTCGGGGTGTTGGAACTCTGGGTAATGATGTGTCGTGTACATTAAGGACGTGAGGACCGTGACTGCTGGATTCAAATCCACTAGAGTGCATGTACCTATCCAGAGGGGAGCCAGCATCTGATAGAGCTTGTCGCCGCACAACCAAACGTAATCTTGTGGCGCGCTAAACCCAGCATCACTGGGCCGGGCCAGTTGGTATGGTTAACATCAGGGAATGCTACGTTAGAAAGGATTCTTTCAGGGACACTGAATATGCAATACGAGCTATTGTAAACACCGTAACTGCACGTATTCTGTAGGATACGAGTACAACCAGTAGTAGTACCTAGGGAAAAATAAGGTGGTGTAAGAGACGTTTTGTGGTATACTCTCTGGATACAAATGCTGTGTTTCATCCCTCTCAAATGGCTGGGGTGCACATGGCTGACCGGTTGGTACTTTGCGTATGTGGTATCAACCGTATATGCACGCAAAAGGGAGTTAGACTTATTACTGCATGGTGGAGGAAGCTGCCTGGCATAACGCCACTCGGTTACGTGGTCTTCCCCCTTGATGGGCCTTGTCAGAGCCATAAACGCACAGAGGTGTTCAACCTGGGTCAGAGAGCGCGGACGAACTGGCACTGACATTGATGAATCCTGGGGAAAAAGGGTGCATGCATAACATGAACCATTTTGTCCTGCGGCCTGCAAGAATGATCTCAGAGTGTGCCACCAAACGTTACCGGTGTTCCCATTACTGGTCTGAACCACATCAATGTTGTTATGGTCGTTATTGCCTATGTATAGGTTACGTTTTAGAAGTGTAGATGTACCTATGGATGTCAATGTTTGTGTCAAAGGCGGTTTATCCTTTTTGGGTGTCTGAGTTTTGGGCGCGATGTCTATGTAAAATGTGCCACACGGGTCGGTGCCGGATACATACATACATACAACATAATAACCCCCGTCTGATATCTGGGCAGCCTGTAGTTGCAACAGGACAACGGGGCTCGATGAATTGACTTTGGAGATAGACAATCTCCCTTTGATGTTTGTTTTGTCGTCCCATAGGGTATAACCCCAATCGGTGTATGCGGTGGTCCATAAAACAAAAGCCCAGCCCCCCGAGCAGTGATTGGCGGTTTGACCAAAACTGCCTTCGACATAGCATATGTAGGCGTCCGCCCACCCCAGTTTCTTAGGGTCGGAGCAATGCATGTAGTCGCACGGGTCTAACTGCACTGTGCTATCTTCCCCATCCCTTAGAGTAATGTTACCAATCCCTGTCTTGATCAGCCCCTCTTCCCATGTGGTTCGCCCTGCTTTCCCCATGTACCTCTTAGATACCTCGATTTTGGCTGACCTGCTGTGTGCTGACCATGAATACATAACATATAGAACTAGTCCTATCATGGCAAGTATGCAGAGGAACCATTTTTTGATTGTCCAGGCTCTCCAGTAGTATTGCTCACGGTTGCGTTGTCGTTTTCCCAGGCGAGCCGTCATCACGAGGTGGGAATGCTCCATGGGGTGTGTGTGTGTATTCCCTCGGTCGATTTTGTGACAGACTTCGCACACTGATAACACAAACGAGGAACCAGAGGCATATGGAACCGCTCAGCTGGCACTCGCTCGTGATACCTTGTGTGTAGTGTGTTTTAGTGTATGTAGTGCAAGTGTGGTGCAAGTTGGTGATTAGGACACATCACTTGTTGTCATCTACATCTGTTGGTGACTAGGACACGTCACTTGTTGTCATCTGTTGGTGACTAGGACACATCACTTGTTGTCATCTGTTGGTGACTAGGACACATCACTTGTTGTCATCTGTTGGTGACTAGGACACATCACTTGTTGTCATCTACTTCTGTTTCCCCTTTCCTGTGACTACGACCTTGCAGTGACTGGCGTGGACCCACGTAGTTCTCTCGGCGACCTTTACCGCTGTCTGGGTGACCAGAAGCACCTGGTATGGACCTTGCCAACGATTGGATTTCCAGCTCTTTCTCCGGAAATCCTTGACCAGCACGAAGTCGCCGGGTTGGAGATGATGAAGTGGACCAGTGGCAGGAGTAGGCAATGCTGCGACCACCTGACCTCGGATGTCTGCTAAAGTGGATGATAGGTTAACACAATAGCACAACATAGCATCCTCACACAAAGTTGTGGAGGGAAGAGGACATCCTGGAGCCTTGAGTCCAATCTGTGGAGGAGCCCCAAAAAGGATTTCAAATGGGCTGAGTTGACTCCGTGTTCTTTTCCTCATCCGCATGTACATCAGCACAATGGGCAGAGCTTGTGTCCATGACAGACCTGTGTCTGCACAGCATTTTGCTAGTTTGTTTTTGATTGTGCCGTTCTCTCTTTCCACCCCACCCCCACTCTGTGGATGAAAAGCACAATGCTTTCTGATGTCTATGCCCATGTATTCTCCTATCTGCGTAATGGCCTCATTAGCAAAATGTGAACCATTGTCGCTATAAATTGTGTCTGGTAGTCCCCATCTAGGAATGATTTCCCTCAGTAGTGCCTTTGCCACAGCATTTGCTGTCTGTGCTTTTACTGGGAAAGCTTCAACCCATTTGGACCACATGTCAACCACCACCAGACAGTGCTTCTTACCCTCTGATGGGCTAAGCTCAATGAAATCCAGCATTAGGTACTCAAATGGCCTGCTGGGAGGTGGATGTGCTCCGGGTCCTGTAACCTTTACTGCTCTACCAGAATTGTGCATGATGCAAATTAGGCATGCTTCACAGTGCTTTTGAGCTGTTATTGTGAACCCCCTTGTGAACCACTCCTGATTTATAGACTCTAACATCCCTCCTTTTGACACATGGTCTAACCCATGTGTCAACTTAGCGAAATGAGGGAAGAAATGTCTTGGGAGACATGGATTGGAATTTGGACCAACCCAGATGCTGGAGGTTGGGTCAAAAACAGCCCCAGCAACCTTCCACTGAGCCTTCTCAACTGGTGTAGCTAGCTGCTGCATGGAAGTCAGTGATGACATTTTGTCAGTGAAGGAGGAGACAGGGATTTAAAAAAATGAGTGTGCGTGAGGTGTGAGAGGAATCAGAGCAGCTGCCTTTGCGGCTGAGTCAGCAGATGGATTTCCTAGGGAAACTGGGTCTGTACTGCTTGCGTGTGCGGCACATTTACAGACTGCAACTTCAGATGGGAGCAGAATGGCGTCTAGTAAGCCTGCAACCAGTACATGGTTAAGTACTGGTTTGCCATCAGATTTCAGAAATTGTCTACACTTCCAAATAGCCCCAAAATCGTGCACTACCCCAAAAGCATATCGTGAGTCAGTGTAAATAGTCACGGTTTTGCCTTTTGCAAGCGTGCAGGCTTCAGTTAGTGCGATCAGCTCTGCTGCTTGAGACAAGAGGTGACATGGGAGTGGTCCAGAACGGAGTACAGCAGAATCTGAAACAACAGAAAAACCCACCCGATTAGTGCCCCCTTGGTCGCGACAGGCAGACCCATCAACATACAAAATGAGGTCAGCGTTGGTCAGAGGAACGTCTTTTAAGTCCGGTCTAGGTGTGCACACAATGGAAAGTTTGGCAACACAGTCGTGTTCGTCACCGTCCTCAGGTAAAGGCATAAGAGATGCTGGATTCAGAGTGTTACATCGCTTGACATAAACATTAGGCATATCTAACAGGCATGTGTGATACCTAAGGTAACGTGCAGCAGAGAGGTGTGATGTTCTCTGTTCAAGGAGGATGAGTGAAACAGCATGTGGAACTAACAGGGTCAAAGGTGTATATCCCACAATGTCACGTGAGGAGTTGAGCGCTTTTTCAGCAGCAGCCACTGCACGTAGACATTTAGGCAGGCCAGCAGCTACAGGATCTAGCTTGGAGGAAAAATAGCCAACAGGCCTCTGTTTTCCTCCATGATCTTGAAGAAGAACTGAGGTCATACACCCATTTCGTTCATCCACTGCTTGAGTGAAAGGTTTAGTGTGATCAGGTAGACTTAGAGTCGGTGGGGATTGGAGAGCCAGCTTCATATTAATGAAGGCTTTGTCGGCTTCCGGTGTCCATATAAGGTGATCTGTAGGTTTCAAACAAGTGACGTACGTAATAGTACGCAGTGGCAACTCGATTGGAGAATAGTTTGGAATGAACGACCTGCAATATGAACAAAAACCCAAAAATGACATCATCTGTCGCTTAGTGACAGGTTTTGGCAGAGATGCCAATGATGCAATACGTTTATCTGAAAGCGTTTTTCCCTCTCCTGAAATGATGTGACCCAAAAATGTAACTGTTCTTTGTACATATTGAAGTTTAGACAAACTGGCCTTGTGGCCTTCGGCTGCGAGGTGCATTAACAAAGCAATACTATCAGCCTCACATTGCTCTGCTGTGGGTGCGCAAATCATGATGTCATCCACATATTGTATTAGAGCAGTGCCTTTCGAGACTTGGAGAGAAGCCAAACTTGTACACAAAGCCTGATTGTACACAGTAGGAGATTCACAGTAGCCCTGACATAAACGAGTGAATGTGTAAGGTTTGCCATCAAATTCAAATGCAAACCAGAATTGACTGTCTTTGTGTACTGGGACACTGAAAAATGCATTTGAGAGGTCAATGACAGTAAAAAATGCTGCCGAGGCTGGGACTTGAGAAATAATCAGATAAGGATTTGGCACCAGCGGTGCTCGGGCGTGCACTGCTGCATTTACAGCTCGCAAATCCTGGACAAATCTCCACTCGTCCGGAGGTTTGTCCCTGATCTTTTTGACAGGAAACACTGGAGTGCGGACAGGGGAATCGTTACACGGAATAATGACCCCTTGTTTAAGCAGAGAGGTAAACACTGGCCTTATGCCATCAACAGCTTCACGTTTAAGTGGGTACTGGGGTTGATTTGGACGGAACGTGGACTTAGGAGTGATAACCACCAGCTCCGCAGAGCGGATTAACCCTACGTCATATTTGTGAGCTGCCCACAGTATTTGCGGTACTGTTTTTAGCGCGTCGAAGAGCTCAGAAATATGACTGAAAAATGAGAACTCTGGGCCAGTAACAGGGTTAACATAGTCCTCATTGCCTGTGAGAGTCAGAGACCGCAGTACATGAACCGACCAGTCAATACTGTACTTAAACACGTCATGTTTTGGGGAATACTCAATCCACGGGTCGTCTGTGCAAATCCAATCAGTACCAGATTCCCATTCCTTAACGATTGGACCCAAATCTCTCCATTTATCAGTGGGCCCCCTGGCTAGTGAAATGTGTGGGACCGCCCCTGGGATTTGATACAGCTTGGTATGTGCGGCTCCGAGTCTAACAGAGATAGCAGCACGCAGCGAATTCCAATACATAGTCTTAAGCCTGATCTCATCATTCAAATCTTCCAGCACAAAACTCTCATCATAGTATTGACATGTATCATCAACAATATTAGCAGTACAATGCAAATGAGAAGTTTCCATGAACACAGCCGGTGGAAAAACACGTTGATGTGTCAAACGTAATAATTCCTGAGAATCAGAATATGCCAACAGCCATTGGCACACATTCAGCAATTCTTTATCCTCAAATGTGGGGTTTTGAACCATCAATGGAGTTGGTCATCGGACTTTGAGTCCCTCATTTGTAGAAATAAGGTCTAAGCCGAACCTAAGGATCAGATCTCTGCCCAGTACATTTATTGGGCAGACAGATGATAATAGGAAACTATGTTTGACTGATGTGGGAAATGGATGCATATTATCCCCGTTATCTTTACACTGAATTGGGATGGAAAACCTCTCCTTCACAGTTACCCCAGCTGCCCCCATTGAGTGAATGTATCTTCCACTCAATTTGCAATCTGGCAGATCTGCCCTTTTTAGCACAGAGTGCGTAGCCCCCGAATCAACCAGAAATTTAACATTAACACCCATTATACTTAAAGTCAGTGTGGGAAATTTCTCAAATGCTTTTTCCCTGTCATATTTCAAATATGTACCCTCTTCAATTACAGACATTTTCTCTAAATCTTCCAATTTCTCAATAGCCTGCTGAATGTGTTTGTGTGCATTACTTCCCTGGGTAGATGATGCTGGCAGTGAGTCCGTCTCTCTCAACCGAATTTCTTCCTCCCCCACTCCCTCCTTCGACCCCCGTCAAGTTGAAGAATTGTCTTTCTTACGGTCCGATTTATCAAATCGAAGGTACTTTTTCTTCTTCTTCTTCTCGTGTGGGCAGTCAGCCATACGATGACCCGTCTCTCCGCAGTTAAAACAGCGTTCTTTATTGCAGACTTTTCCTTTGCCTCTGTTCCCTCTGCCCTGGCCATCACTTTGGGTCCAGCCGGTTGTAACAGCTTGGACCAAGGTCAGCTGGCACTTTTCTTTACGGTCGCGGCGTTTCTTTTCCTCGCTGGCTTTTTCTTCTAAAAGGCGTTTCTCGGCATGCACGGCATGTCGGCGAATTTCTTCCAGCCGGGCACCTTCCATTACGCCAATGCAGGAGTTTCGCACCGATGCCGAAATGGCTGGAGATAGGCCGTTGAGGAAAGCATTTGTGAGGTGTGTCTCCCAGACTCCTATTTATGCTACTCCTAGTACCCCGGCCTCTTGTTTGATAATGCCGCTGTTCTCCGTGAACACTTTTTCTAAGCGGTGGTAATAGTCATTTACTGTTTCCTCCGGGGTCTGCTTACATGCCCAGATTCTTGACATGTCGACTTTGGCGAGGAACTTTGTAGTTATTGCGGCCTCTAGTCTAGCCAAAGCAGTGCGGTAGGTATTGTTCAAGTCATCATCCCAGAGTGCGGCAACCACGTGCTGTTGACCTCCCAGTATTTTGGCGAAATGGCTGACGTGTGTCGGACCCATTCTCAGAGTCAACAATGTCTTTATCTCCGGCATAGTGGGTGTGAATTGTCGACAGAACATGTTTAGTGCTGCAGCAAATTTAGCACCCCCTAACTCAACATCTGGGATATGATCTTTTGCTATTTCCCTCATATCCGATATGGTCCATGGGCGGTAAACGAGTGACGGACCAGCAGGTCCAGCCACCTGGATCATGGGAAGATTGTAATTTAAGTCCTGGTCCGGTCTGCGGAGGTGTTCTATTCTGTAGAGTTCCGCTTCCTTCTCCTCTCTTTCTCTCTTCTCTTTCTTCTCCTGGATCGTCCTTTCCAGTTTGGAGGGGTGACTAGGAGAATGTCCGCCATATCCTTGCTCTTTGGCGGTGACCTCTGGTCCAGCAGCACCTCCAGCAGCACCTCCAGCAGCCTCCTCAGCCTCCTCAGCTGGCAGGTGAACGGGGGGTGGGGGAGGGGGGAATGGAAATCCACAGTCGAGGAGAGGGTCCTCCACGCCTGTGTAAAGAGAGGGATAAAGAGAAGTGTGTGGTTTATACTTGGGTGGTGGTATGAAACTCTTTTTCTCTTTCTTCTCCCCTTTATCGTCAACCTGTATTTTTCTTATTGCCGCAGCCAATTGCCTTCTTTCACGGCACTCTGCTTCATCTTCCCAGTATTTTAAACACTTTCTGTGACTGTCCAGTTTTTCTAAGTCTTTCCCTTTAATCCTGCTCTTCTTTTTTATTCCATCTTCACACTCTTGTAATTTATCTCTTAGGTTTTTGATTTTTAATTTACTCAAAAAACCTCCCTTAGGAAATCCGAACATTTCCGTCCATATATTTAATTTAGACAGACTGTCCTCACCATATCTTACTCTCATGACGTCTACAATCGGGCCCTCAGGAGGGTGTACAAGCCCCCTACTTTGCCTTGCTCCCATGACAAAATCACCTCATTTGTTTCTCAGTACAAATCGCGCAAAAAACTAATCGTAAACCCACTTCTACGACGGGATAAACCCTATGTGATATTTGTTTCTCAGTACAAATCACGCAAAAACTAATCGTAAACCCACGATCTACGATGGGATAAACCCTCTTCGAGCAGCCCCTTTCATAAACGTCATGGAGTTTTAATTACGTTTAACTTTAAACAATTTAGACATTGTACATCTCACCCAGTATTGGAAAGCCTTTTTAAATCCGTTTGATCTCGTGAAGTCAATCAGTTCCACCCCCGCCGCTGGTCCTCTCGTCCCGTACTGTTTTTGTCGCGGGGTAGAGGGAATCCGAGGATCCTGGAGCTACCAACCAGCGTTCGTAGGTGTTCCCAATCGAACTTGCAGAGACCCTGCTCGCAGCGCCAATTGTTATGGAAATCTAAAAACCCCAATACTGTAGAGTACAAGTCAGAAAACAAATAAATGGTGAATCAGACAGAGTTGTCTTTCTGGTGATGTTTATTCGAACAAACATCAGATACAATAAAATATAGACACAGGTCTCACAGAGTATAGGATAGTCTGCGCGAGTGTGCGCAGTTTAATATGGTAACAAAGCTTATATTGAGGAAAGGGTGGGAAGGTCAGAAATCTGTCTTCACACGGTCACATTGTTATTAGACACATGTCCTTGAGCTGTAGATCTCAGGAAAGGCAAGTTCTCCTGTGACTATGTGTGAGTCATAATAGCAGCTGTGGCCTTGAAGTAGAGTAACAAGAGGCAAACAGCACATCTAACCTAATCTACTTTGAACATATAAGGAATATAATAAAAATGTCCACTACACCCTGTACACAAACTCGCTCGGATCAGTCATTAGCCCGCATGGTTTTTCTTACCACTGCTACGCTGACGACACCCAATTAATTCTGTCCTTTCCCCGCTCAGAGACCCAGGTCGTTGCACGCATCTCTGCTTGTCTAGCTGACATCTCTCAGTGGATGTCTGCTCACCACCTCAAGCTCAACCTTGACAAGACTGAGCTGCTCTTCCTCCCGGGAAAAGATTGTCCCACTCTTGACCTAACAATCAACATCGGCACCTCAGTTGTTTCCCCGACTCAGACTGCAAGGAATCTGGGTGTGACCCTAGATAACAACCTGTCCTTCACTGCAAACATCGCTGCTACAACCCGTTGCTGCAGATACACGCTTTACAACATCAGGAAGATACGTCCCCAGCTGACTCAGAAAGCGACTCAGGTTCTGGTCCAGGCTCTCGTCATCTCACGCCTAGACTACTGCAACTCCCTCCTGGCTGGTCTACCTGCATGTGCCATCCGACCTCTGCAGCTCATCCAGAATGCAGCGGCTCGTCTGGTCTTCAACCTTCCTAAATTCTCCCACACCACTCCGCTCCTCCGCTCCCTTCACTGGCTTCCGGTAACTGCTAGAATCCACTTCAAGACACTGGTACTTGCTTACCGTGCTGCGAATGGATCTGGCCCTTCCTACATCCAGGACATGGTTAAACCGTACACCCCAGCGCGTGCACTACGCTCTGCATCAGCCAAACGACTCGTTGCGCCCTCGCTGCGAGGGAGACCCAAGTTCCCATCGGCGAAAACACGTGGGTTTGCTGTCCTGGCTCCAAGATGGTGGAATGAGCTCCCCATTGACATCAGTACGGCAGATAGCTTGCACATCTTCCGGCACAAACTGAAAACTCATCTCTTTCGACTCCACTTCGAGCGTTAGAACTATTAACGAAGCACTTTTATACTAATAAAGGACTGGCTTACCTAAAGCCAGTTGAGTAGCACTTGAAATGTTTGGCTCTATGAAACCTGATGTACTTATATGATTCTGTTTTCTTCAAGGTTGTGTCTTCCTGGTCGAATGTACTTATTGTAAGTCGCTTTGGATAAAAGCGTCAGCTAAATGCAATGTAATGTAAATGTAATAATGCGGGTACAGTCCCCTGACAACTCCCCTCACATTCCTCCAGAGTCACAAAAAGTCTGAGTTAACTTTTGGAAGAACCATAGAAAAATGGGTGAAAAAGAATAAATTGTATCTGAAAATAGTGTCTCTTAAGGCGGGTAGAGTCCCCTGACAACTCTCCTTACATTCCTCCAGAGTCAGAAAAACTCTGTTATCTTTTGGGAGAACCAGAGGAAAGGGGGGAAAATGGATAAATTGTATCCCAAAATAGTGTCTCATAATTCCCTGACAACTCCCCTTGCATTCCTCCAGAGACCAGTTCAAAAACGTAAAGTTTGGTAAGAACCATACTGGGGGGTCTCCATGCAACAATTGTATCCGAGCCAAAGCACTCATGGAGCGGATGCATTCCTCCATGATGTGAAACAGCCGTTTTTTTTCTGAGTCCTCTCAAAAACCGGGTTTCCAATTTCGTGCGGATGGTAGCTTGAAAAACATGAATGAATTTTTTTGACGTAGGAGGGGAGGTCTTGATTCCCCTCTCCGTTGTAAAATACAACGGGGGAGTGGAAAAGTGTCCGGGGCTTCCGCCCGAAGCGCCGAAGACTTGAGCTTTTTGGAGCCCCTCCTCTGTTGGCACTCAGAGGAGGGGCTTCATTTTTGATTATTTTAAGATATAATTGACCGTTTTCTTTACTTTTTTCGGCTTTCCACGGGTGGGGTTGCATGGCAGGCCGCCTATGAGATCCCAAATTCTGCCTGGAACCTCCGGGAATTGTGGGCTAAGATCCATAAACTGACAAAGTCACCCAGAAATGTCACTTTAATAGCCCAAAAATATATAATACAAATATATTTAAATAGTAAAAGGTACAATTGTGCTCCGAATTACCCGGAATTTGATTTATATAGCCCCATGA